ATAAATGGGGCCGACCCTCCACCGCCAACGTCTCCAGAGGCGCATGATATCGGTATCCACGCCGCGGATGGACGAGGCGCACCACCACCGGCGCGGCGCGCATCTCCCGTCCACACAATGTCGCCGAGGCCAATAGACACTGGCAAGACCCACACCGGTCCGTACACCGTCGAGGCCCGCACCGAACGCAGCAAGGCGAGGCGGGATGGCACGCCGCGCCCACCCCTGCGGCACACAATCAATCGCGCCCCGGGTGGTCAACCGACAAATGTGTCGCAGCAAAAGGAGGGCTCCGCGTCCGAGGCGGCGCGTACCAAGGATGAAGGATGAGGTGGGCCTGCGCACACGCGAAGGACGGATGAGTCACGACACGCCCCACCCGATCTCCAACACGTCCACGCGGCGTACGCCCCGTCCACCACGCGAACCGCCCAAGCCTCCCGTCCGCCCCCCACCGCGCACACTCCGCGAAGCGCAAAGAAGGCCCCACGAACATCCCCTTCCCCTTCACCGAACACCTCCAGATCGGCGAGTTACACCACCCACAAAAAAAGACGCCCTCGCCAAAAGTGCCACATGCCCCCGCCCGACACGCCAAAAACCCCCAAAGAAACCGCCCCCCCCAAAAAAAAAAGAGAGTCAAAGAAGAAAAAAAGACACGTACAGCACACCCAACTCCAGCTCCAGTCCCTGGTCCCCCTTCCCGCGTGCAGGCAGGACGGCGGCGGCGAGGACGGGCCGCGCATCGCTTCCGTTCCCGTGTCGGTCTCGTCGATGCGAGCGTCGTCCCGCAAATTGATATTAACCACCTCCCTAACCCCCCCAAGCCTCGTCGCGTCCCACACCTGCAGCCCGCGCCGGTGCGCGTAGGTGAGCGTGAGAAGGCGGCGCCCAGCGACCTCGTCCCACCGCGCGGCAAGGATGGGAGATCGTCGTCTTCCTCTTCAGCTGCTTCGCGTCCCACCGTCGTTCTATCACCGCTGCCGTGGTGCGCGCGCGCGTCAACACCGTGATATGGGTACGCGCGATAAGGGTGCGTGTCCCGCGGCGGGGAGACGCCGGGATAGCCGTGCTGATAAGGGGTGTCATCCTGGCGCAGATAAATCCCCTCCCGATCCTGGTGCCGATAAACCGTCTGCGGGGTCGCTCGCGGCGGGACTACCCCCAACGCGCGCAGGGTGTGCGAGAGCGCCGAGCGCGCAAGGGGTGCGGCGGCGGCGGAGACGGCGGATACTGTCGCTGTTGCTGCCGACGTGGCGGAGAGGGCGGTGGAGGGCGGGCGGGGTCTGGGCGTTAGTTAGTAAGCGGCGTGTGGATCATAGTACAGATGAGGCTTAGCGCAAAACGGGGTTAGAATAGATGCGGAGACGGGCGTGGCGTGTAGAATGCAATGCAATGGAGTGGAGTGGAATGATGAGGCGGACGGAGTGCAACGAGGCAAAGGCGTGAAAGGAACGAAAAGTGACGGAATAAGAGAAAGGTATGACAAAATGGAATAGAAATGGGAGGAACAATACGAGTTGGAAGAAGAAAATGGCGGAGGATAAGACGAAAAGATGAAGAAACAAATAAGGAAAAGACCGCACCTCGGAGCCTCCGGCGCGCGCAGATGGGCAGTATTCACTTCCCTGCTCTTCCTCTGCCCGTTCCCTTTCGTCCCCGCCACCGCCTCCTCCTGCTTTTCCACCACCGCCTCATGCTTATCCACCCTCGCCTCTACCTCAATCCCACCCACCACCGCCTCTATCTCCCCATCCACAGTCCTACCAAGCTCACCCTCCTCTTCAGGCGTCGGCGGCGCTGCCTCTGCCTCCTCCACAGGTGTCAGTGACCCTTCGTCAGGCAGCGGCGTCGGGTACTTGCTCGGCGACGCGCGCTCTTGTTCCTCCATGCGCGGTTCGTCCACGCCCGCTTCCTCGAGTTCTAGATCCGGCAACGGTGGGCGGTGGATCCTCAGCGCCTGCGTGCGGCGTTTGGAGGATGTCGTCGCCGTTGTGAAGGGTGTGCCAGTGGGGGGAGTAGTGCCTGTTGTCGTTGTAGTGGGAGTGGCACTGCGATTCGCGCGAGGCGGCATGCAGTGGTCGTGCTATAGTGTAGATATGCGTTGCGTCCAAGTGTGCGTCCTCCGCGCTGCAGTCGTTGTGCTGTGTCGATTAGAATAGATTGAAGCCGATTAGATATCCGATATCGTTTCAAGTAGAAGTAGCCAAGTAGTAGAAGTGTAAGAAGAAAAGCGTGCAACTGAATGCAAGCCTGGTATAACAATAAGTAGTCCAGTCAAGTGTAGCAGGAGAGTGAGTCAGTGGATGGCGGGCAGAGTCAAAGGCCACCGGGCCTCAGCTCCGAAATTGGGGATGTGACGTACATACGGGAATGATCCGGTCGCACACGTGTCTTTCGATGGCTGAAGCTCAAATAATGCGTGAATCGAGGGTTGGAACAGAAATTTTGTCAAGCATCGGTGTCTCTGGCGTCGCCCGAAAATTTATCCCTTATCTCAGCTTATCTCTCTGTCTCTATCTTCAACGTCACCGTGATCTGGATCTGCGTTCACGAGAGCTTCGAAATTCGTCGGTACCGCTGCCAGCGATCTATCCACGCACGGCGTCTTCGTTCCCTTTGTCTCCTGGGAATCCTGCTGCCATAATTCACAAGTCCAACGCACGTTCACCCCAATTAACACACCAGTCCTCCCGAAAATACTGATCCTACCTGCTCACGTCGACAACAAGAAGCACGCTACATTCGGTGTGTTCAATCCACGCTCTTTGTGCCGCGCCCCGCCAACGCTAGCTGTGCGATATAACGAAAAGCCGCCCACTCCGCTCTAGATTCCAGACGCACCCAACCCCGAAAAGGATAGCGCGGTCGGCAGTAATGCCCGCAAGTCCCGTCCGTACACCCCCTTTCAACCCGTACAGCTCACCTATCCAATCAACAGCCCTGTATTTCCTCCAGCGATCCGAAATCTCCGCACTGTGATGATTGTTTCTCGAGATTTCAAGTTCTAAATTGACATACGTGACTTTATTCCACACTGCTCCTGCGAAACAACGCACATAAAACCAAGCTCGCAAATATACGAATACACCCTCGTGGACCATGGGGGTCGTCTAGTTCAAATAGCTCCTTCGTCCAGAGTACGGCCAGAAGGCGAGGGTTCGATTCCCTCCGAGGGCGTATGGGGTTTTTCTCATGTTTTTTTTCCATGAGCAAGTCAGAATTACGACCGTGTTCCGTAATTTTTACATGGATATTAATATGTAGCTTCAAGTTATTTGCAGGGGGACGCTCTGAGGCTGGTTTTTCCTGGAAATATTTACTAAATTCACCGCGCCTCCTTGACAAAAACACACACACACATACCCATGCCCAAGCCCGCAGATATACAAATAAGCCTTCGTGGAGCATGGTGGTCGTCTGGTCCAATTGAGCTTGTGGCTTGATTTACCTCTAGAACATGAGGGATCGATTCCCTCCGAGGGTATATGCCTTTGGTGTCGTGTTTTTTCAGTCTTGAGTAAATATTGTGTTCATGGCATGCAAAAGACGCATGTATACCCAAGCCCGCAATATATAAATAAGCCCTCGTGGACCATGGTGGTCGTCTGGTTTAACTACAGTAATGAGCTTGTCAACTAAAAGGCGAGGTTTCGATTCCCTCAGAGGGCATGAGGCATACAGAACGATGATTTTTCTTTTGATGAAGTGAGTTAAGGATTAGTTCAAGATCTATTGGCCTCGATATATTTTAGTTTAAATTTTATCAAACGGAAGGCTCCGCAAACTGATTTCTCTCATTGGAAATACAATATTTCGGTCTCGAAATTCATCCAGGTGTACGGCCCTCTGCACAAAAAGGAGTCAATATGGTCAAGTTCAAAAAGCTACAGATGGGCCCTCGTGGACCATGGTGGTCGTCTGGTTCAATTAAAAGCGAAATGTGTATGTTTGCGACCAGAAGGCGTGGGTTCAATTCCCTCCGAGGGCATCGGAATAATATAATCCTTTTTTCCCCCCTCCAGCAAGCACAGTCTAATAATCCACTCTTTTAGCGGATTCATCAGAGGAACCGTCGGTATACATGCAATATTATTTCTCTTCAGCATAAATACACTATGATTTCTTCAATGTAAAAAATGTAAATACCATATCCAGCCGGGTTTTTAAACATTTGTACATCCGCTCCAAAATGACACACACCTAACAGGCTCACAAAGGATTCAAATAAGCCCTCGTGGACCATAGTGGTCGACTGGTTCAAATCATGCGTCGAGGACCGTACAGCCAGAAGGCGTAGGTTCGATTCCCCTCAAGTGCATGGGCGGGACAAGTGGTATTTTATTTTATTTTTGTGAGCACGTAGGAAGATGCATAACCTGTCGGATTTAGAGTTATTTTATTCGCAGAAGGCTCCGCAGGCTGAATTCTCTTGGAAATAATATTTACGGCCGTAAATTCACCGCACCTCTTTAACAAGAGGCACAAAACCAAGTTCACAAAAGATGCAAATGAGCCCTCGCGGACCATGGCGGTCGTCTGGTTCACTTATATCGAGTGGATCCAACTTACGACAAGAAGGCGAGGCTTAGATTCCCCCCGAGGGTATCCGATTTAGCAGCTCAATTATTTATTTATTTTTAAATATGTTTCACATCGGCTTCAAGATCTGTCTGTTATACGGCTGGATGTTGGTGCGGGGCAGCTGCCTCCGCGAGCTGATTTCTTAAATTGCAGATGTAAATGCAATTTACGTCTCGAAATTCATCTGCCACCCTACACAAAAAGGAGCCGATATGACCAGGTTCGCAAAGCTACAAATATGCCTTTATGGACCATGGCGGTCGTCTGATTCAATTGGTGAAGCATGTTGGCCGTTAGAAGGTGAGGGTTTGATCCTCCCCGAGGGAAGGGTTGAGTGGTAATGATGTTTTTCGTCTCCACTAACTTAAATATTGAGAAAGACGCATCTATACCCAAGTTCCCAAACGTGCTAATAAGCCCTCGTGGACCATGGTGGTCGTCTGGTTCAATTAAAATAGTGCGGAGGTAAAGCCAGAACGCGATTTAGAGGGTTCAATTCCCTCCGAGGGCATTAAGCTGCAAGTCTCATACATTCTTTTTCTTCCAGCGAATTAATCCAATTTATTCGCAAGGGATACTCTTTTAACTATAATATTCACCCAGCTCCCTTCAAAAAAGCACTTATGACCAACCCCACAAATCTGCCAATGAGCTCTCGTGAACCATGGCAGTCGTCTGTTTCAAACATTCATAGGATTCTGTGGCATTTGTATACAGAATTTATTCAAAGATAGCTCTGCAAGTTGATTACTCTTATAAATTTAATGGTCACCAAGCCTCTGTTCACCCGTAGGAAACAACTCGCTGAGTCACGGATAATGAACCTCACAAAAATAGCAATAAGCCATGGTATATGACAGGAGATTTTGGTTCAATTGGCAAAATCTATGAACTACATTCCGGTGATTGAAGAAAAAAAAATGTACAAGATTGAATCCTGAGTCCAAGAAAAGATGACAGACACATGTTTAGTAGGAATATAAACGGAGTCTTTTCATCATGCGGTGTGGAGGACCTAGGATCACCGGTGGATACACAAATGGAACAACTCTAGATTCCTAGGTGGATAAACGGTACCCATTGTTCATGTGGCACTCTGGCATCCCGCATCTTTTGAACAGCAAGCTGCAGTGCTTTTGCGGCTTCAGAGGCTCGAGGCCTTTTCCCACTGCCCAATAAATGGCTGTAAACCGTTTCCGCAACAGCTGGCCCATCTTCATCCATCATGGACCACATAGTGGCAATGACTCCTTGAAATCCCGCAGCAATGAAACCACCACCCAAGTGGAAGGACTCATTGACAAGTGCAGCATCTCCTTTAGCCGTCTGGCATGCAGCAAGGAATACAAATTCGGCATTTGGTAGGGACATCTGGAGAATGGTCTCGAGCTCCAAAGTTCCACCATAGAGCTGGAGGCAGCTTTTTGGAGGCTCTATGATATTCTGCTCTCCATGACAAGCTAGATGGATCCAAGCACAATTGTTCAGTGTCTGCTTGACTGAATCTACAGTGGTGCTTTCTCCAATGAGACTCTGAACTTGGTATCGATCCCCAGCAATGGAGGTAATCTTAGTGATTTCTTCTTCAACTCCAGGGAGTTCTTGGTCTCTGCGAGGACCAGTGTGTGTCACCCCAACCAAGCCAATGCAAGGTAGATTGGTTGAAAGTGTCTTGGAGTTCGCTTCCAGGAGAGCCCCCAGTGTGGGTGTATATGACTGTATGAATTGATCTGCAGAGTCCACAGCATGGAAAGGCAAGCCAGTGAAATCTCCCATAGGACACCACCACAATCTGCCAGAAGTGATACCATTCTGCAAACAAATGAATAATACATCCGACAAAACAAGCAGAACTTACAGCATTCAGGGCAACATAGATTGGCTGCACAATGCAAGTCCAGACCCACTTCTATCCCTTCTTGGTATCCATAAAGACGGGCCGGTGGTAATTCCCTTGATCTCACATTACGCCCTTTGATGAGATCTCTGAGGAGACTTTTTTGTACCTTTAAACGGTCGACAGACACCGATGGCAGTGCAATATGAAGTGGATCTGAGTTCGGATTGAGGAGAATAATTGAGTCACAGTGATCCACATGAGAATTAAGAATCACAATGGGACCATGTTGTGAAGCTTGACAAAGTTCTATGTACGGTCTAGGTTGCAAATAATGCTCTAGACCAGGAGTTTTTCGAATCTTCTCAAGTAAATCATTTCTTTCTCTGGCCAACTTGGAGGGATCCCGAGCGGTTCCATTGTAAAGTTGTTGTGACATTTGATTTAACTCAGCTGCATAATGGTGAGGCAGTTGTACAAGATTAGATTTGAGCTCCAAAAGTTGTCGGAAGGTTGTTCCCACTCCCTGTTCATAGAATTCCACTGCTAGAGGAAGGTTGTGCAGCTCAATTGAGACACAAACAGCATTCGAGGTTGCCTGGGACACATTTATTCTTCTATTTCTGTCTTGACGCACAGATATTAAGTTTCCAATCCAAAGTAGTTCCGGCAATAAATTGAAGGCAGCAGAATAAGCCTCCAACATTTGGGATGGATGGTTTGTCTTTGCCAGTGATGCCCATTGTATAGCAGACTCCCAAGATTTTTCAAGGTCTGCAGTGGGGCCTTGAAACGATGCGGAGTAATTAACTAGAGCAGCATCCAGGTCCTCGGGTGCACCCGATACTTCATATCGGTCTGCAAAGGACACAGCCAGGTTCTGAAGACGCTGTGCAAGATTAAGGTGGCCCCTTTGTGTATGAGCTACAGCAGCTTGATCATTCTTCAGCGCTGCTTCAAGATCTTCCAAGTTGCTTGATCTCTCATATTGGCCTGTGAGGGCAAGAGCGAAGGTCTGGAGACGTGCAGCAAAGTCCAGGTGTGCAGGAGGTGTTAGTGCCACACATTTTTTGGTATACTTGACTGCAGCTTCAAGGTCCCTTACTTGTCCCAATTGAAGGTATCGGTGCATCAATGAATCACCCAAGGCCTGGAGTCGTTCAGCAAGAGATAGGTGGCCAGCAGGTGTTTGTGCTACAGCCGCTTCGTGGTTCCTCACTGCAGCATCCAAATCCTTCAAGCCACCTGATCTAGTATATTGGTGCATGAAGGATTGTGCCAAGCTGTGGAGATAAAGAGAAACATTTGGATCTGTGGCTGGTGTGTGATTTACAGCGGCCTGATTCATCTCCAGTGCTGCTTTTAAATCTGTCAAGTCTCCCCATCTTAAATACCGTGCTGTCAGAGATGTTGCCAGGCTCTGGAGACATAAAGCATGCTGTGGATGGCCCACAGGTGTCTGTGCCACTGCAGTTTGATAGTTTTGCAATGCAGCCTCAAGATCCTTCATGTCACCGGATCTTCGATATCGGTGTGTGAGGCTCATTGCTAGACTAAGTAGATATGTAGTCCTATCTGGGTGGCCATGAGATAGCTTTGCCAGAGCAGTTTGATTATTCCGCAGCGATGCCTCAAGATCCTTCACATCACCAGAATTGCAGTATCGGTCTGTGAAGGATATTCCCAAATTCAGAAGACGCTCAGCAAGAGCTGGATGATCATCGGGTGTATGTGCTACAGCTGCTTTATTGCTCTCATGTGCAGCGTCGAGATCTTTCAAGTCGTCAAATCTGTGATATTTGTCTCTGAATAGTTCTGCCAAAAGCTGGAGACGGGCAGCGAGATCAGGGTGGCTTTCAGGTGTTTGTGTAGTGCCAGCCTGAATATTCTCTATTGCTGCTTCCAGATCTTTTAAGTCGATACTTCTGTTGTACTGATCTAAGCAGAACATCCCCAGGGTGTGGTGACGGAAAGCCAAATCTGGGTGACCTTTGGGTGTTTGTGCAACACTGGTTTGATTATGTTGTAATGCAGCTTCCAGATCTTTCAAATCATGGGTTCTTCGATATCGCAGTCCAAATGCAAGTGCCAAGTCGTGGAGACGTGCTGGGTTGCCGGCTGGTGTCAGCATCACGGATGCCTGAATATTGTCCAATGCAGCCTGGAGATGCTGTGAGTCATCTAATCTTTGATACTGGGCTGAGAAAGCCAGCCCCAAGTTGTGGAAACGAAGAGCAAGATCTGGGTGGCCCTCTGGTGTCTGTGCCACACATTCTTGGTGGTTATGCAGGACAGCATTGAGATCCTCCAAGGCACCAGATATTTGGTATTGCTCTCGCAAAGACACTCCCAAAGTGTAGTGACATACTGCACGAACAGGGCCTTCAGGAGCCTGTGCCACAGCCGCTTGGCCGTTTTTGAGTGCAGCCTTGAGATCCTCCAAGTCACCAGACTTTCTATATTGTTCTCCAAAGAAAATTGCCAAGTTCAAGAAATGCTCAGCTTCACGATCCCTCATTTCGTACAATGTCTGTCTGAAGGACCTGGACCTTGGCAAATGCTGGTGACGGCCAGCAAGATATGAGTTATCCTCAGGTGATCGATTTTTAGCTGAATCATTCTCATCTGGCTCTACCTACAGCTCATTCAGCACCTCATTGCATCACAATATTCAAGACTGACTGCAGCTGGAATTTGCTGAAGTTGTGTGTTTTCATCTCCTGTGCTGTGGGTAGTCACTGCTGTAGAGAATTGTAACTGATTTTCTCCTAGTTTCTCCTATGGCACATGTAAGACATCTTGCCCCACATTTAAGATTGATTCACTTACTGGCCCTGAATCAGGAAACTTATTGAATTCATTGGTGGTTGTTAGATTTGGCGCATTTGAATTCTTAAACCATCAGCATTTAGAATCTGTTGACTGGCTGCAAGCCCGCTCACCATGACAGTTCCGGGTGTTTGTGGAGTCGGGGTTGCGGGGAGGAATGAAGAAAAGGTTAAATACCTCGATGTGCCACGTGTGCAAGCAACGCACAAGCTGTCAATCAGTGCTGGTAGCCAGACCGTTGCTCCATTTGCCGGCCAACAGCCCCTATCGAACTCTGGACATGATAAGAGCGAGCTGAAACTATCAGTGTTTAGAATTCGGCTGGCTGAAACAATGCATGATCTTTCAAGTATTTGGTGCAGTCGGAGAGAAATCGAGATTAGGCTCAGTACCAAGCTGTCAAATGTGAGATAATTATATTGCTGTGCGTTGTCAAAAATGAATCCGGGTTACCGCTACCCCCTGATTTGTAATTGATGGATTTATATCAGGGTGGCGGGGTAGGGCGAGATGTTGTCTGGGGCACAGCAACGAGAGCAGAAATATCTCAAAATGACTCTAGAATCATAAAATAAATAACTTTAGTCTTTCCTTTTTTTAAGTCGTGATCTGACCAGAATAGACAAGATGTAACAAGAAACGGCAATTCCCGGCCGGACATCGACCTCCTTGACAGTGCCCCCCCAGATCGGGAATGCCGGACCCGGCGATAACTTTGTTCGATACCGATCCTCTTGCTCGTTCATTTCTGTTCAAGTGCTCTAGATATTTTTCCTACCCCCATTTACATTTACACCTATAATGAAAAGTTCTGTCAATTAATGGGCCATAGAGCCCAGTGAAAA